CTGAATTCTTGATTAACCAAAGGTTTTATTGATACATCATAGTGGGGAAGAACATTCCCTAATAGACATTCAACATGAGGGCTCTTAAAAACCTTCCATCTCTAGCGTACTCAGCCCAGAAAATCTTACTGAAGAAAGTCAGAATTCCAAAGTTGTTGGGGAAAACTCCAGTCACTCATGTTGTCTTATTGCAGTATTTGATTTAGATAACTATAGCATCAATGGATTTTTCTCCATAATTTTTCTATGAATCTCTGAGGTATTTAGTAACTTCGAAATACTCTTATTAAGAATTATCATCATCATAAACTTGGATCCATTTACCAGATAGCTGTTATGTGCAAGGCACATAATATCCTACATATTTTTCAAAATTTTCCCTTTTTAGCCTCACCATAATGTTGCCAGGTAGGTGTGTTTATCCCCACTTCACAAATAAGGAAATGCAAGTTTATGGAGTTTTAAACTGTTAATGAGTGACAGACCAGATTCATGATCAGGGAAGTCTGAGTTCACTGCCCAGTTTTTTTATACTATGTTATAGTATTTGAGGAAATCAGGAATATAACTACAGATTATTTTTATAGAATAATAAAAGATGAGTATTTTACAGTAGAGGTGTTTGGACAGAGCTTCATAAGATAATGGAGGGAGGATGTTCCAAACATGTGGTTTGAGTGGATGAAAACATGAAGAAAGTTTTGAAGAATGAAGCCAAAGACAACGGCGTGGACCAGAAGTGCAGATGAAGGGAAGGTCATCAGAAGCATCCTTGCAAGGTGCTGGGTTTTAGGATTTGATTCAAGATGTAATAAGATGCAAGTGGAAGGTTTTCCAGAAGGGAATAGGGTGATAAAAATGATCTATCTTTTACACAGATGAGACAAATTCTTTCAAAATCTAGGTCTGACTATACCACCCATAGCCAAAAACTTAACAGACTTCTCTGTATCTCCAAGATAATGTCTAACAACTTTTATTTATTTATTTTTGTCTAACAACTTTTAAATGGCATTCAGAGGACCCACATTTTCTTTAACATTTCCTCTTGTTACTCCATCTATGCTTGCTCCGCCCATAATGAACTCCTTGCGAATTTCCAGGACACACCATTCTCTTTTATGCATCCACATGTGGGCGCATGCTATTTTCTGCTCCTTTGTCTAAAAAAAATGAATTTCAACCCAACCTTCAAGAGTCTCCTTAAGCATCTTCTCCCCTGTAAAATCCATCATGATATAACAGTTAAGTAGTGAGTATCCGTATTTTATGTCCTGTCTCCCCCACCAAAAAAAATTCTCAGTGTTCCTCAAGACCTAAGAATATTGTGAAAATACTAGAGGCATCTCCATTAAAGTTATGAGCAAATCAAAGATGTTAACTCTAGTAGCCAAGGTCGCAGTAGGAATCAGATGGCACACTCAGTTAAGATTATTTGAGAAGGATTTAATAGAGAAACCATGGACAAAGGTATGTGCTGGATATAAAGAGACCAGAAAAAATAGTCAACTAACCTCCCTGCAACAAAAATAACAAGGGAGGAAGAAGCTCCTAAAACCAGGAAAGAGACTGTCTCCTGTTGAGGGCTGCTGAGGGGAATTTTGATTTTTGGTTGCAGGATTCAGCCAGCAAAAGGTGACCCCACAGGAAGGAGACTAAAGAAATAAATACCTGACCCGACTCTACTCCCTCCTTCCCCTGCCTTGCCAGGACTTCTCAGCGGCAGTACAGTATAGAGGAGACCATTGAATTGTCCATCTAGGGGCAGAGTAGAGAAGGGTGGAAAATGAATTTGGAGAGCCAAATGGAGGATAACAAGCATGTCCACGTCTAACACTGTCAATGGAATATAGTATTAGAAACATAAGCTAATAAAATTAGCCAAGGCAAACAATATGAGGTATAAAAAATGGAAAGGAGAAGTGTCATTCACTGAAAATAATATGATTGTATTTCATTTACTCAAAAGGGGTAAATGTAAATCTTTCATTAAAAATTCAGTTGGCTGAATAAAAAAATCACTAGCCTTCCTGTTATAAAATATAATGGAATAAACGGTCTCATAGGATGAGATACCACAACTAGGAATAAGCTTTTAAAATGTTTAATATTCACATGAAGAAAAATGTAAAACATTATTGAAATACACAAAAGGAGACTTGAATAATGGGAAGATATATTCTATTTTTCATATCATGAATATGTCACCAGTTTAGGAATGATATCAAACTATTTTATTTTTCCAAAAAGTGTTATCAGCTTCTCTTATGAGCCCTACTTTCTACTGCATAGACACCTCCCTCATTGATATCGACACCCAGGTACATACCATGTTAATTACTTGCACTATTAGAAAGTTATTCAGGTTCTAAGACCTTGTTCTGCTCACATTAAAGTTTTAATCACTTATTGGATATAAAGCTCTCCTTCTTTCTACACAAGCAGGGGGAAATGGTGACTCTAGCAGTAGAAGCAGGAGGTGGAGGAAGACATGAGCTTCTGTAATGTGTACCTTTCCTCTTTCTCCTGGACGTAGTTTCCCTGATATTGAGGAGGAAGGAAAGAGAGAAAAGAGAAAGATGACTATTTAAATTTCAATGGTTGGGGACTTCCCTGGTGGTCCAGTGGTGAAGAATTCAGCTTCCAACCCAGGGGATGTGGGTTCAATCCCTGGTCAGGGAACTAAGATCCCACGTGCCCAGGGGCAACTAAGCCCATGCGCCACAACTACTGAGCTCGTGCACCTCAACTAGAGAGCCCACGTGCCACAACCAGAGAGAGAAAACCACGCACCATAACTAGAGAGAGAAAACATGGAGGCCACAACTAGAGAGAAGCCCATGAGCCGCAGCAAAGAGCCTGTATGCTACAATGAAAGATCCCGCATGCCTCAACAAAGATCCCGTGTGCCGCAACTAAGACTTGATGCAGCCAAAAATAATAAATAAGTAAAATAAAATAAATAAATAAACTTCAATGGTGGCCATTAGTGGTCATTATCTATTTAAAGGTCATTGTCTGTTCAGTTAGTGGTAGAGCTTTTCCAGCTCCTTCTCTTAGGGGAAGTACAAGCTTGCTTGATAGAACTGGCTGGTGTGAAACTTATTTCCAGATAGTTCCCCAAGGCACTGATGAACTCTTCCAAGACTCGAGACCTGGCCACTTTTTCCTGCTGCACCTCACCTGGGCATAGCACATTCCTTTGAGAGGCCTGCCTCTTTACCACGTCTGTGACAATCCCTGATAAAACCAGAGCCTACAATCACATTATCCCTCTCTTGTCCCCAACTCTGGCACTTCAAGGCCATTCAGGAGCTATCTGCCATATTTCTCAGCAACCATGACTTTAAGCAGAGGGGAAGGTCCTGGCATACTCTGTGGCTTGCTGTTCCTCACTGGGCCATGTCCAGGTCTGCTAAGTAGGCAGCCAATTAAAAAATGAAATGCTCATCTTGCTAGCACTTACGGAGTCTAGGAGTACTTCTCTTGGCGTTTTCTTTCCTTCACCTCAGGAAAAGGAAACATTTCCGCTATTCCCTTCCCACAGAACAATGAACAGTCCCTTGGCTAATGCCCAAAGTGATCCATTTCTATCTTTCAACTCTTTTATTATCAAATGGCTGGGGTGGGGTGTGGGTGAGAGAGCTGCTTGTGGTGAAGCAGCTCTTCTCAGCAGGTCCTGTTAAGAGGTTCCGGCTGAAATCCACTGATTTCCTGAAGTTAGAAATTGGAAGTCTCTTAGAACCTTTCATTTTCAGCTTGGTCACTAGCCATTTATTTTACAAAAATAAGATTCTTATTACTCTCATATATATTGTAAATGGTTAAAATCTCTATGGGGCAAAATTAGAATTCCACCTACCTTTGACAAATAAATACCATTTCTAAAATTATACTATAGATAAACTTGTAAATATGAAAAATAATTATTTGTTACATTTTGCTCATAAGAGTAAGAGATTAGAAACAACCAAAGTGTAGTTAAATAAATAATGGATGTTCGTATAATGGAATAAAGGCTAAACATTATTTTAAATGTTTTAAATATTTTAATGTTTTCATTAGTAAGCAGATTAGTGATTCATTTTTAAGCAAGTACTCAGGGAACACTGACTTTGTAGTTAATGCAGTGATATTCCAGACTATATAAAGAATGGGGCTTAGCTTTATGTATACTGAAATGGAATGATCTTCTTAATATATTTTTAGGTGAAAAGACAAAGGCAAGGTAAATGATAATTAGAGCATGTGCTTTTTATTTGTGAAAAATATATACATGCTTATAGGTGATATGTTAATAGATAAGTGTGTGTGTGTATGAAGTTGATGTAGTTATCCCTGTTTTACAAATGAGAAAACCAAGACTTGAGAACCTAGCAAATTCCAATCACAGAACCAGTTGCAGCATAACTATGATTTGAATTCAAGCTTATCTGACCCCAAATCACAGGCACTTTCCAATACAACATTCTTAACCTTTGACTAACGTTTATCAGGGTAGAATTGACTACTCCTTTTTCTACCATCAGTCGACCTTGTAAATATATCTATTTTAGAATGTATCACACTATATGCAGCAATATGTGTATATGTTGCTCTCCCCTGGTCTAGCGTGGGCCTCGTGAGGACAGGTGCTCTGTAGAGCCATCTTTGTATCCTGGGTGCTCTGGTGTGGTACACTGAAGAAAAGCACTTCACAAAGGAATGAAAGGCATGATACATCTTTGTACGTAAGCAACAATGGAGGAGAGCTTTATTACGTGCCTAGTAAGGCAACTGCCTTTTTTTTAACAGTAGTAATACTAAGAGTGTGCCTTAAGGTATCTGAGTACTATATGAAAGTTTAGCTAAATGGGCTAAATATGATTATACCCAAGCCTCAAACCTGCATAGCAAATTTAATTTAGTGAACATTTATCAAATTCTATTATGTGCTGTTAACGAAAAGAACCATTTATTTCTATGATCACACTTTACAGTCCCTTGTGCACAGAGTGCTGATGTCCATTATTAAGTGGTCTGAAAGGTCAGGCCAGTAAACTTTTGCTGATTTGCAGGTCCCTCCTCCAGAGATTCAGTGGGTCAGATATCTGTTCATGTGGACATCACCGCCACCCCAGGAACAGGAGAGCATAAAGTCACTATAAAAGGTATATTTCGGGTCCAGGTAGATAAAACAGCCTATGAGACTTTAACCTCTGGAAATAATTATATCAAAAATGTTTTTTCTTGAATCTCTCTTTAAAAATCTATATTAAATGATTTCAGGGCATGCTCGGAATGTCTTCATGAATCTAGAACTTTTGATTTAAAACTGAAACAAATGAATGGCACAGGTACTTAACCTATGTTACCTGAAATATCTAAATGGTTTAAATACATTGGTGATTACATTTCAAAACTGTATACATTGAACATGTTCTCTATGGTTGAGGCTATGATATACATTGAACATTGGTGCTGTGGTTGGCTCCAACTTGCCAATGACATTTTAGATGTTAAGTCAGCATGTTCTTACTATCCACATAACCTACCTACTTTTTCTATGTGATTTCCAACAACTGTTTGATTTTTTTTAAATGGGTGGTTGAATCAATTGGTTTTATATTGTAAAAGCACAATCTGAAAAGAGGGGTCATTTCAAGGATATAATTTAATGATTAATACTTTCCTCAATAGAACCATGTTCTATTTTTATATTATTATAGACTTAGTCACTTTAAATAATATCTACTTTAATCAAAACCATGGCCTTCTAACATATTTTAAAATTGCATTACCTAACGTATCTTTGTATTATAAAAGTAACACTGCTATGGGCTATAATAGATTATATACAGTACTGGTAATCATACAGAAAAGTGGGCATGACTATATATTCCAGTGTCACTAAATATATTTGAAAAATATTTTGACAATGCATATCAAATGGTAAAAGTTTTATCAACCTTTTATATTAGCAAATTTAATTGTAAGACAATTCCTTAAGGATATCATCATCAAAGGATGAGCAAACCTGTATGAGAATGTTCATTTAAGTATTATTTATGATGCCTGAAATTAGGAAACCGCCATGATATGCAACAACAAGTGATTGGGTAAATATAGAATGAAATGTACATATAATGAAATATTTGCTGTTGGAAAATATATAATAAATTAGAATGCTACCCGCGATGGGCTTAAAAAATAAAGCTACTTATAAGACTGCAATACATTATGATCCCATTCTGTATATAAAGATTGAAAACATCATACCAAAATATTAACTCATTTCTTCTGAGTGATAAAATCATATATTTTTAAAATCTATTTTCTGTATATTTTCTAAATATTTTATGATGAACATATAATTTTAATATGAAAAGCATCATTTTTTCACCTAAACAAGAATCACAACTTTTCAGTATTAATGATTGTCCTTTCAATTACAGCTCACATTTGCCATCCCAGTGCCACATGGCTTAGAGCTGAAAGCGCCATCAAGCGTGCAGCCCAGAGAGTAAATGGCTTTTCCTTGTCAGTGGGGTTAGGGTGCTATCAAATGCAAGTTACAACTTCATACATCGTTTTAAAAAATAAAAATTCACTCTAAGGACCAAAGGGAGAGTCTAGGATTCCACACATTGGTTTGCTAATACTCTATATTCCTGTCTCTTTCCTTTTGGCTTTTAGTCATTGCTATTAATGACTTAAACTGGCAGACCACTGCAACGTTCCGCCCCTTTGTGGAAGTTTGTATGCTGGGACCCAACCTCGGAGACAAGAAGAGAAAACAAGGCACAAAGACAAAAAGCAACACATGGTCACCAAAATATAACGAAACATTTCAGTTGTAAGTTATGACCTGACTCCTTTATTCAACCAGGCAATAGGCATTGTAGAGCTACACTTATGAGCGACTCACAGGGTAGGAATGGCACTGGGCTTTGCTAAGGAAAGCAAAACCTATGGGTTTAAGGATTCCTGTTCATCATTGATCCAAGGCAAATGAACAAGGCTCTGTTTTTAGTTCTCTTCCATTTGTTTAGTATTTGTCCAGTGCCTACCATGTATCAGGCAATAGTATAGGCATTGGATATATGTAGAAGGAGGACTTTGCTCTCGTGGAAGTTACTCTCTAGAGGTAAAGAACGTATGATAAACAACATCATAAATAAATAAAGTTATCATATGATAGTACTAAGCAGAGCATTAAAACAGGGTGATGCAATAGCGTGATGGGTTGGCTGCTTAGACAGGGTGTTCAGGGAAGCCTCTCTGAGCATGTGCCTTTTAAATAGGAACCTGAGAAAATAAAGAACCAGTCATGTAGGGAAGAGAGTTGAGAGCATTTTAGGACAAGGAAAATTGCGAGTGCAAGGATTGTAAGCAGGAGCATGCCTGGCATATTTAAGAAACAGTATGTAGTGGGCAAGGGAGTGAGATAAGATGAATTTGAAGAGGCGGTCAGGTACTACATCACACAGGGCTTTGAAGTCAGTGGTAAAGGAGCCTGGGTCACATTCTAAGCTCAATAGGAGACATTGAAGGATTTTCATATGAGGGTTTGAACAATCTGATTTACATCATTAATGATTATTGTGTTTGCTGTATAGAGAAGTAACTATAGGGAAGGCAAGACCAAACAAGTAGAGATAAGTTAGAAGGCTATTGCAGTAGTCTAGGTAAGAGATAATAGTGACTGATCAGATAGTCTTAGGGAGGAAGGAAGTAGTCAAGAGATGGAAAAAAGTGGACCATCCTCAGTCCCAATCTTGACAGGTCTAACTGTTGCTATAGGAAAGAGCTGGCATTGAAGCACCAGGCTCTGCTGGAACTGATTTACTCTGGAAATTTTTATGCAATTTAACATCTTGTGAACAGTGCTTGATAGTCTGTGCAGTGTATTCCCCTGAGAAAAGGCTCCTAGATATAATAGCGTATCCAGGAGTCTGAGGTAAAGAAAGGAAATTGTAATAACGGATGTTGAAATGGCACAGAAATTCTTCCAAACGGTACCCGTCCCCCCTGGCCTAGCTTCCATGACCCCTAGTAACGCCTCCTACCCCTATATCACTGGGGAGACCTTGCCTGCAATGATTAATTACAACATAATATTTTAATTCCAGTTTCTATTAATATCCTTAACATCAGGGCAGTAAAGCATTTTTAGATGGATTTCCTATTTCCATCTAGGGAAGGAAGGAGTTTTTAAGTTCGATTGCAGAGTGACAGCTATGTAAATACAATCTAAGTAAAATTTAAAGGATATTTCCATCAGAGTTCAAAGACAATGATACTCTATTTGCCAATATAATATTCTGAGCAGTATATAAAACTTTCAACAGTCTATTAGAACCATATTGATCCCTATTTGAAAATGCTCAAAATCCATATTTTTAATCCACACAGCATTCTGAGTAAAGAAAACCGCCCACGGGCCTATGAACTTCACCTTTCAGTTAAAGATTACTGCTTTGCCAGAGAAGATCGAATTATCGGAATGACAGTAATTCAGCTCCAGAACATAGCAGAAAAAGGAAGCCACGGGGCATGGTATCCCCTATTGAAAAACGTCTCTATGGATGAAACTGGTTTGACTATCCTTAGAATCCTCTCGCAGAGGACCAGTGACAATGTGGCCAAAGAATTTGTAAAACTTAAATCTGAAACAAGATCTGCTGAAGAGAGTGCTTGAAACAAACACTGCAAGATAGCATCTAGGAGAATTCATAAACTATAACTGTTTGACTACTGCATGCATGTGCAAATACACGGGAATGTTTATTTCACTACGTTTCAGTGTTTGCCAGTACTCAAGAACAATGTCTACAAGGTATGTGGAAAACCTGTGGAACTTTTATACCACTTCTGGTCTTTGAGAAATAAATGTTCCATGAAGTGCCAAAATTATGATGTAAAGTGAAATATCCAGAGCATCTTTTAAAATGTTTATTTCATTACCAATTTCTCATCCATTAAACATACTAAAAAAACAGTCTCTTAAGTTGGTCCATTAGTTGTCCTTGTTACATTGGTGTATATGGCCAGTAGGTATGAAAGCATCTGTTACTCAAACTCTATTTTATTTAGACTTAGCTCATTATAGATGTCTTATAAATACCCTTTTCTATCATGACTAGAAATGCAGTTACTTCTAGAAAGCATTTGTAATTTTATAGTTGCAGGTATATTGTGATGATTTTTGCATACATATTAAAATAGAAAATGTGGGAAATATTTTATGCCAACCGGTTTCCAACCTTTCTGAAATCACTGTGAAGAAATGCTCTTAAAGCAAACTTATAAAAAGTAATGCTAAATAGTTTGTTAACAGTGTTTGATATATCAACAGAACTTTGTTCTTTAAAACTGCCAAGGTCACATCACATTTGTAAAAAAAAAAAAAAAAGGTAAGTTGAAGCATTTGCCATCTAGCATTATGTCTTGGCTTTACCAAATTTCATTCTTTAGAAAGTCATATGACTAATGGTTTAGGAGTATGATGGAAGGTTTGTTTCTTAAATTACCTATGATAAGTAATTATACTGTTAGTGTTTTCCTTCTGACAGTTATGACTAACTCCTTATTTACTGAGTGCTATAATCAGTTAAATGCTTTTCTCTTTTTAGAAATATTCAACAGTTTTTACTGAATGCAGCATTACTATATATTGCACTGGAGCAAAATGTCACGTCTTCAACTATTTAGTGAAAAATGTAAAATGAAGTCTGAAGAAATTGCTTACAGTTTTGTAATTTATGTTATTTATAAGCCCAAGATGCATACAATGCAATAGGAAAACAACTTACTACAGCTCGGTAGATAAAAATATAACTAGGTTAGAGTGTGAATATGAAATAGTCTATGAATATTTGCATTTTCTCTGTTTTAATGGTTTGACTTTTTAGAATCTGTACCTAAGTACTTGGCTGTAGAACAGGACTTTGTAGTTGTAACTTATGGTCATAACTGTTAGTGGGCAACATACATATGCAGGAACAAGATCCTGTTATAGTGACTGTGCTTTGTGAACAAGCTGGTCTGATATGTTAAGAACAGAAATGAAAAGTATCATGACTTTCAGAACCATGCTGTTACTGGGTGTGAAAACACAGACAGTAAGATCCACTAATTCATGTTAAATTGATAAGCAAGTGCTTTGTTAATGACGTCTCCAAATGCATAGTACAATGCAATCCTCTGGCATATGCATTAATAAATGGATGTATATTGAGCACATGCAATACTTCATTGTATCTTCTGCCTTTTTATTTCATGTATGCAACATCATTCCACTATTTAAGAATAAAAAATCCAGGCTCTTTTTACTGGATAGAACACTCTTCACAATGTTTAGTTCTAGTATCTCATTAGAATTTGAAAAAAAATTTTCCAGGAGTTGTATTCATGGAAAAAGCCACATATTACAGGATAATTACCCTTAAAATAAGAAAAAAGCTGATGTATCTACCTGTCTGTACGTCTCTGAATACTGTTAAGCCATGAAGAAAATTCAACATTCAACATATAGACAAGCAACACAGTTAAATAAAAACTTACATGACAAAAGGTTTCATTATTTTCTTGCAAGATTCATTCAAGATTTATAACAATTTTACAGAACATTGACTTGAGCTCTTTAGGAGCACATTAATGTCATAAAGCAGCACACCCTTGAATAAATGGCAGTTTGCGTTTGCATTGATCACTTAAAAAATTATGAGCTAAGTAGTTTTTCCAGTATTTGTTTAATTGGATCTGTTCATTCCGTCTTTGTGTGTGTGCACAATATATATCAAACACTAATGGTTATGATATGAATTGAGTCTATTTATTAATATCATAAAGTATCAGTCCTAATTTTGAAATAATTATGAATTCTGCAGTCTGTTGTTTTTCCCAAGATACAAGTATTTGTTGTCTCCAGAACAAAGCTTGTTGTGTTTGCATACCCAAATTAGTAACCACTCTGAAGTTCACAGCAATCTCTGTCAACTATAGACTCCATTAAAGTGTGAAGCAATTTATTTATCATATTTTAGATAAAATGCACAAAGACAAAGCTCTGTTTTTCATCTACAGATGAAACTCACATTAGAAGTTCTCAAACAAACACATGATAATCAAATTTGGCTAAAATGAGGTGTTTAAAACCACAGTGAAACATTTATTATTTAAAGGAGCTCTGATGAATTCTTATTTAAGATAAGTAATCAGATGTCCTCATCTCAACCTACTCTAACTCATCTATTTCTAGGATAATTTATATATTGAATTGCCCTTAAATGAGGTACATTTATAAATGACAATCCTAGCTTAATGTTTTGCATTTGGCCTTTTTAAAAAAATGTTTGAAGCGAGGTTTATTTTCTCCTTTTAATTTCTCTTATATAAAGATGACTATACTAGCACTTTTATGGACTAATATAGTAGTTTCAATCTTCATACTCAAATAATGAAAAATAATCAGTTATGCAGGACTCAGAAAATATCCCTGGATAGAAGTCTGAGAATAAGCTCCAATTTGTAAATATCATATTATACATATTTTAAAATATACTTTTTTCACATTATGACGATTTTGAAATCAGGATACATTTTATAATCATTGTCAAACTATAGATTAATGGGTGCTTTTTTTCCTTTTTTAATAGTAAATAATGGTTCATCTTGCAATGAATGACTTCTTAGAAACAAATGTAGAAAAAGAAAGTAATGCTTAGGGATCTTTTTAAAGAATCATATATATTTTAGTTTGCGTATACTAAAATTAACTCTGTTGGTAAACGTTTCTGTTTTGACAAATTCATAGAATCGTGTATCAGGCACAACAAGCAAAATATAGGACAGTTCCGTCATCCTCCAAAATTCCATTATCCTACTACTTTGTAAACAAACTCTTTTTCTACCTTCAGCTCCTGGCAGCACTGCTCTATTTTCAGTCCCCCTGGTTTTATGTTTTCCAGAATGCCATGGAATGGAATCATGATAGTAGGTAACCTTCTGAACCTAACTTCTTTCACTAGGCATTATTCATTTAAGAGTCATCCATGTTGTGGCATGTATCAACTGTTTTCATTGCTGAGTAGTATCCCATTTACGGGCATACAAAAGAGCATCTGTTCATTCACCAGTTCAAAGACATCTGGATTGTTTTTGGTTTTTGTAAGATTATGAACAAAGCTGTTATAAACATTTGTGTACAGGATTTTGTGTCACCATAAGTGCTTATTTCTCTTAAGTGAATGCAAAGTAGTGGGATTTCTGGATCATATTATATATTTAACTTTATAAAAAACTGTCAAACTTTTACCAAAGTGATTGTATCATTTTACATTCCCAGCAGCAATGGGTAAGAGTTCCAATTGCTCCAAATCCTTGAAGCATTTGGTACTGTCAGCCCTTTTTCTATTTTAGTTTTCTATTTTAGTTTGCAGTCCTCTGATGATTGATGATGTTGAGTATCTCTACATTTGCTTGTTTCTCATACATATATTATCTTTGGTGAAGTGTCTGCAGATCTTTTGTCCATTTATTCAACTAGTTTTTTGTTTTACTATTGTTGAATTTGGAGACATCTTTGCATACTGGGTATAGAAGTCCTTTGTCAGATATGAGATTTGCAAGTATTTCATCCCAGTCTGTGGCTACTCTTTTCATTCTCTTAAGAGTGTCTTTCAGAGAGCAAAAGTTTTAAATTTTGAAAAAGTAATTTATCATATTTTTCTTTTATGGATCATGGCTTTGCTGTTATATTTAAAAATTCTTTGCCTCACTCAGAGTCATAAAGATTTTCTCCCATGTTTTATTAAGGAAGTTTTATAGTTTTAGATTTTACTGTTTGGTCTATGATCCATGATCCATTTTGAGGTTATTTATTTTAATTATAGGATGCGAGGTCTGGGTTGAGGTTTATCTGTTTTTTTTTTATTATTTTTAATCTACTAATTAATTTGCACAGGGAAGTCAAATTGTTCCAGTACCACACACCATTTATTGAAAAAACTACACTTTCTATGAATTACCTTTGCACCTTTGTCATAAATCCATTGACCAAATGTGTGTGGGTCTATTTTTAAAATCTCTATTTCTGAAATCCCTTCCTTAACACCAGTGTGACACTGTCTTAATGACTATAGCTTTGTGTTGTCTTGAACTCAGGCAGTGTGAGTTTTCCATGTTGTTCTTTTTCTTAAGATTGTTGTGGGCTGTTCTAGTAATTTTGCATTCTTAAAAAAATTAAAACACTACTGGAATTTTGATTGGGATTTTATTGAATCTACAAATCATTTGGGGGACAACTGACATCTTAACAATATTGAGTCATCAATCTACGAACACAGTACCTTGTCTCCATTTATTTAGGTCTTTGTTAATTTCTTTCATCAACGTTAGTTTTCAGCATAAAAATCCTACCAAATATTTCTTCTGTGTGTGCATGTATGATAGTGTAAGCAGTAATTTGAGAATAAAATTCAAATTTCAATTGTTCATTTTAGTATAAAAATTGATTCTTGTATATTAGCATGGTACCCCACGACCTCACTAATCTTCCTTATTATTTGTAGGATCTTTCTTATAGATTCCTTGGGATTTTCTACATTGACAATCATGTCAAAGAGAGGCATTTTTGTTTCTTTTCATGTGTGTGCATATTATCGCTTTTCTTTCTTTAATGCACTGGTTAAGTCTTCCAGTACCTTGTTTTCTTTTATTTTTTTCTTTCTGAGAACAGGCAAAAACTGTTTATGTAGATTTAATCATATCATATACAACTACAACTTGTAGCACTGAAAATGACCCTAGAAAGAATTTGGCTTCAGTGGTCTCAAACTATTTAGTGTAGCTGAATTCCCTCCATAATGTATTCACACCACAATATATAATATAAAGCAGGAAGAAGAGGCACAGTTCTTATTTTTTACATTAGTTTTATCCATTTGTTAATACACTGACTTCATATTTTAACCTATTCTCATGGCATACAATATTACAACTGAGTACAATCTTTAATAGGAGCAGTAAGCTTGGCTTGTTCTCAGTCTTAGGGAGAAAGTATTCAGTCCTTCACCATTAAATATGATGTTAGTTATAGGTTTTCTTTTATCAGCTTAAAGAAGTTCCCTCCTACTCCTACTTTGCTGACAGTTTTATCAAGAATGACTTTTGAATTTTGTCTAATGCTTTTTCTGTATCAATTCAGATAATCATATAATTTGTCTTCTATAGTCCGTGAATGTGGTAAACTACATGGACTGATTTTTTGACTCTTGAAGCAGCTTTGCATTTCTGAGATGAACCCCAGTTGGTCGTGATGTATTGTCTTTTTGTATATTGATGAATTCAATTGGGTAATATTTTGTTGTATTTTTATATCTATATTCATGGATTCTATTGATCTATATTTTTCTTTTCTTATAATGTTTGTGTCTTGTTTTGTTATCAGGGTATTTATGGCCTCCTAAAGATTTTGAAACTGTTTCCTCCATTTCTATTTATCTATTTTATTAATCTTTTAAAAAGAATTAGCTTTGATTTCATTTTCTCTATTTTTTTCTGCTTTGAATTTCAATGTCTTTTGTTCTTTATTATTTTCTTCCATCTGTTTGATATAGGTTTAAT